TGTTTTTCTGGGTCATCATATAGGCCATCTTCTGCTAATATGATAACTAGTTCGTCGCAGTATCAGTATGACCACAGTTACCCAACATAGCAAACCCGGCGCAGGTCATGGCAGCGAAGGCTGAAACGGGCCTGGCGCAGGCCTGGTCTAGCAACCGAATATAGAGGCCATAATCATTACCTATACTACTTTGGGGGTTCCTTACTTTCATTATAGTATGATCGACCCTGCAACCCAATTCTGATTATTCAGGCCCCTACATTTCACTGTAGCTGTGACTTTTCAGCTTCCGACGGTTCGTTGCCAATGGACTGCAACATCGCGCAGCGGCCTTCCTTAGACGCGCAATGCTGCAATGCCCAATCCGAGGATTTGAAAACTCGCAACCAACCCGCTAAACCCTAAACCTTGCACTCCATATACCGTAAGCCCAAGGTATTGCCAAGAGATTCCGGAGTCGAACCAGAGCCTCAATGCTTTTCTTGGCCGGGGCTCCTGGGGGTTTGAAGAATCTGACAGTCTTTGCGGCCAATGTAGGATTGAAAGGGCTCCAAGAATTAGTTTAGAAGAGGGTTGCCAGACGGGTTTTTGCCTGTGCAGCTTCTGCTTCTCAATGATAGGAAGAGCCGATAGGCCCACAGAACCCCTATAATAACCCTGAACCACTTAACCCAACCTCGAAACGACAAAAGAGGCACCTTTCCCGAACACTCGGGTTGAATGTTGTTCTGGAAGTCGCTTCCGGCCGGTACATGACCGTCACTGCCTCATTCCATTGCTAATCGTTTTTTACAAAGACGCATGTACATGCGCACTGTCCGCAAGGTGTCGCAACATTCGAGCCCACTGAACAGGGTACGCGGCGCATGTCGCCGAGGTCAAAGTTTCGAAAGCGAAGCCTGACATGCACATTGAACCAGGTATACTATACTATACCATACTGTAGCGGTTTGCTCTTCCCTCCTCCATGTGCCACATTCGAAAAAGGAGGTCCTTGCTTGCCAATTCGTAGCTCGCTCTCATCGCACTCTTTCTGTTTTGCATAGGTGAAACTGCTGATGGACAAAATCCTGCATTACCCATTTTAAGGAATATACCATAGTTCCCATAGTTTAGAGTCCTTAGGGTCATGCAGGATTTTGTCCATCAGCAGAATGACATGGGGTCGCGGCCCTGATTTGGGGTTTGGGGTTGGTTTGGTATCGGGTAGGCTGGCCAAGATTTCGGCGGGTGGGTGGCATGAACCGGGAAATGCCCAACCCTGAACCCTCCCTAGATTCCTAGAAAAACCCTACACCCTAAGCCCTCAAACCCTTCGACAAGCCCTACACCCCATAAACCCTGAACCTCAACCCATTTGCCATCCAGGCCCGCTCCAGGCCGAAACGGATCAGTTGGTGTTCTCCTCATCTTCCAGCGTGCAGATGCCGGGAGCAGAGAAGGATTCTTGGACGGGGTTCATCATAGGGGCCCTGAGGGAGGTAGGGGGGACGGGGGGTAGGGGACAGTATTTCCTTAAATAGGCCTTATGAGTTAGGTCCTGATCCTGGGCATTAAGGCCCCCTCCCCTACCCGCCTAAGGGGCCCTAGGACTTAAGGAGGCTTTAAGGTTTCTGCTTTACGGCAGTGTCCGAGGGTTTCGGGTTTGGGGATTTGGGGTTTTGGGGTTTCGGTTTAGGCCCGCTTGGCGGTATAGGGTTTGGGATTCTTGGGCCGTACGGGGACTCCTGTGTTTCCAAAAATTCCGAAAACGCGGATGGGAGTTTCCGATAATTAGGGGTACCTTATATTGGAGTCCTCATAATAAGGATCCTATTATTTAGGGCACTATATTAGGGTCCCTATTTTCCGAAAGTCCCACATAGCTACGGCTGAGGAGCCCGATCCTCTGCCCCCTGCACCGGCGCGCCGGCCGCGACGCACGGTGCTTGCTCGTCCCAAAGGCCTCAGGGGCCCCTCGGGATTAGGGTTTGAGGGTTTGGGGCTTATAGGTTTAGGGTTTCGGGCCTAGGGTTTAGGGTTTAGAGGTTTGGGGTTTAGGGTTGAGGCAGTCAATATCGAGCAGCAACCTCAATTACTAGGTCCATACTCGCTTCAATTTATCCAGGTATTCGTCTTGTTATTAGTAGTGTTAGTGTTGCTACGATTATTGGAACAGGAATTCCGGGTTGAGGGTTTAATCAAGGGTTTGTGGGAATGGTTTGGGGTTTAGGGCTACAAGGGTTTCCATGTTTAGGGGAGGCTTGTTTCTCTGTGGGCAGTCACGATGGACCTGGTGGCATTCCCAATACACTTCCTGCGCAGGTGCCTTCAAGAAGCGGAAGAAGGCTACGAAGATCTCTTCGTAGCTGCCCAGATCACATCAGCAGCGGCAACATCTCCGCCGAGAAGAAAACGGATCCGGAGGCAGCACAGGTGTTCTAATGTAAATACTGATCCCTCCCGTCATGGCACTGTAATGATATACTGTAATATACTAGACGATAATACACTACAGCATTCTATATCAAGACCCTCAAAGCTTGGTTGCTGCATCCGGTTGTCAGCATTGACATGGTCCAATTCAAACGTGTGTGTAAGCTTTCGGTTTGTGCTGTCAATCGCAGTATACCACTGCAGAGACTCTCTCGCTTTTGTTCGGTCACTATGTTTAAGTCTGCCCTGCCGCAACTCATCAACGCTGCCTGTGCTGATTTGTTGGGCTGCTCCTTCAGGTTGCTGGGGCCTAAGCTTGAAGTCGTTTGACGAAAGGCCGGAAATTTCTCCTCAACCACTCAGAGCTGAAAAAGCTGATCCTATGTTGCACGTCTTTGAAAGAGGGTAAAGGGCTGCTGTCATCGGGCTCGTGCCAGGGTCGTGCACATCTGATCCCCACCTTTTGCACACCAACCCCGGTTGCTGCCAGGAACGCAGCTAGGGGAGTTTCTTGTAGAGCGTTCTGCCAGGATGTCACTCAACGTGCCCTTCCACGAGCAGACACCGCTCGATGATGCCGGGGTTCCTGGGGATCGCATCGTTGCTCTTGTCTACGACAGGTCGTTGCTTTGCGCCCGGTCCCCATTTCCAGTCTCGGCGTTTTACATGAGCGTGTGAGTCATGCTGCCGTGACTTCAACTCTCAAAGTCTTGTCGCAACCACTGTGTTGTTGCGCACCCTTTGCATCCCTTTGCCACTCCCGACGCTGAGCCATTCCCCGTGCCTTCTCGGAGTTCGTCGAGTAAATGACGCAACATGCCCAGACGTTGCTTGATGCAGCATAATCGTAGCAGGCTGTATAATTACCATGTACCAGTGGCAGCTGGGTGGACGCCATCTTTGTTTCCTGTTAGGACGCAGACGTCACTTCCATGGGATTCTCAGTACAGATCATTGTTGGCTATCGGTCGAAGCTGAAACTCCGGGACGTGAATCTCCACTAGTGAGTCGTTAGTCCTCAGTGTTGATTGTTAACGAGTATCTGGCTGCTGTACCAGTATTCGCGGCATTGTCAACATTGTCCTGGTCCATGTCTTGTGATTGCCAGCATCAGCAGTTCTCCGCAAGAGCAGTAAACTCCGCGTGCTTGTGTCTTCGTATCGTGTTGCTATTGCTGTTTTGTGCGGTTGTTGTGATCGTGCTGCCGTCGTCGGTGTTCTTGTTGTGACGGTGGTGAAGCATCATGTTTTTTCTTCGTGCTGGTCCGGATAGCCATTGTCGGATGTCTTTGCTGTGTACAACCCTACGGCGCTGCTTGCGGTTGCACTGGTTTCTTTGTTGTTGGGTGTTGTCAGCGATAGCTGTGGTGAATGTCGTGGTGGTGGTCGTTCCGCTTGGTATTTATGGCAGGTCGAGCCTACGACTTGTTCAGCCTTGACGCGGAATCTCCGATCCGTTCGGCCGCGTTTGCAAGCTGAAATAGGCCGATCTGCAGCCCAGCATGTTTGCAGTGTGCCCTAGGTTGCACGAAGCTGCCGACAGTCGCTAAGTTGCTCTGACTACACACAGCCGCTCTTGTGTGCGCTGAGGTTCGGAGGTGTAGAGTCAGTGTATACTCATGAATTCACATCTATATGGAGGACTCTACACTCTAGACGCAGAGCTTCCTTTTGGCGTGTAGCTTCACGCAGCCTGTCGCGCTGATGGGCAATATCTGCGAGTGCTGTGGGGTGCGGGGAAAGGGACCGGCCTCACTGCCGGAGCATGCGAGTGGTGGCAACGCCGGATACGGCTACGCTCTGGCAAAGAACGACCGCGCGCGCATGGAGGATGCGGTCGTCTTGAATGACAACGTGGCAGGGCATCGATGCTATGCGGTGGTGGATGGTCACGGAGGCGATAGGGCAGCAATGCTTCTCCAGGAAATGCTGCCCAGCAAGTTGGGGCAGCATTTGCAGGGCTCCAAAACCAAAGAGCACGTTGTGATGGATACGTTTGCGGAGCTGGATGAGGAGCTAAAACTTGCACTGTTGCAACAAGAGCCCAAGGCAATCGGGAGAACCTCCGGAGCTGTGGCTTGTGTGGCCACCATCCAGGGCAAGGAATTGCTCCTCGCCAACCTGGGCGACTGCAGAGCTGTTGTTTGTGAAGGTGGCCAGGTGAAGTTCGCGACGGCAGACCATTCCCCTGTTTCCAACAAGCTGGAGAAAGAACGCCTGCAGGCTTTGGGAGTGGCAGTGGAGGGCGGCTACGTCGGGGGTGAACTGCAGGTCACACGAGCCTTCGGGGACCTCGATGGGGAGACTGGCCAGAAGCTGGCGGGCCTGATCTCCACGCCGGAGGTTGCAATCTTGGAGATTAGCGACGACACGGAGTTTGTCCTAATTGCCAGCGATGGCATATGGGACGGCCTGCGGGATCAGCTGGCCCTCACGACCGCACGTAAAATCCTGCGGGAAACAAGGTCTCCCCAGGCCGCTGCCCAAGGGGTTCTGGAAGCGGCTGGCAAAGTCACCAAAGCGGACAACGCGGCAGTCGTCGTCGTGGCTCTCAACATCCCGGAGCCCTTGCCGAAGCGAGAGCCCAGACAAAACCGTTTCCAGCTGAAGCTGGATTGAATTCGCAGTACAGTCTTGCACCGCGCCGATCGTCTCGCAGGTCCTGCCTGCTGTTCCACGAGACATAGGCCATAGGCACATCCTCCATTTGAAGTCCTTTGAAGTACGAAAGGCCAGATTGATTTCTCCTCGATCATTCAGAGCTGATACAGCTAATCCCATGTTGCACGTCTTTGAAGCAGTCGAAAGTGCCCGTGCAGGGTCGTGCATATGATCCCCACCTGTTGCACACCAACCCCGGTTACCGCCAGGAACGCAGCTAGGGAAGCCTCGTGTAGAGCATTCTGCCAGGATGTCGCTCAACTTGCCCTTCGATGAGCAGGCAGTGCTCGATGATGCCGAGGTTCCCGGCAGGGGGTTGCTTTTCTATAGGCGACAAGTGGTTAATTTGACTTGCAGTCTCTACATGTACATGAGCACCGTGACTTGTGCCGCGTTGCCCTCGGTTGTTACAGTCATGTCGCAACCACTGAATCCGGCATAGATGCACATCCTTTATCATATCCGGCGCCGGCCCACTACCCTGCGTCCTCTCGGAGTTCGTCGGGTACGTGATGCAACATGCTTCAACATGCCCAGGTGTTGATTGGTGAGTACTAGCTGGGGTGGAAGCCATGTTCGCTTCCTGCTAGGACGGTGGCGTCACACCCTTGGGATCCTCAAGTAATTAATACTCGCATCATTGCTGGTCGTCGGTCGAAGCTGAAACTCCGGGACCTGCAATGACAAGCCGAAGTATGCTTTTGGCAACACGACAATACAAGACTCCACTAGTAAGTCATTAGTACTGATGTTCACTGCGAAGCCACCCTCATAATCTATAGTGCTTGTCTGGCTGCTGTACCAGTACACTCAGATTGTCCTGGTCCATGAATTGCGATTGCCATCATCAGTGCTCTGCAAGAGCAGCACACTCACCCTTGCCGATGATGACAGTATTATGTTTTTGACACTCAAGACCAACATGAGGTCTTTGCCAATGATGACACTGTTGTTTTGCCTTTGTGTCGTTATTGTTCCTTGCTGTTTGTCCCGACGATCAGCCTTCGTCCGCGTTCTTGTTCAGACGGTGGTGAAGCATCCTTTTTTCCTCGTGCTGGTCCTGATAGCCATAAACTTGGCATTGTCAGATGCATTTGCTCTGTACAATCCTATGGTGCTGCTTGCGGTTGCAGTGGTTTCAGTGTTGTTGGTGCTGCTGGTGATGGCCGTGCTAAAGGTGGTGGTGGTCGTTGCGCTTGGTATGTATGGCAGGTCGAGCCTACGACTGGTTCAGCCTTGACGCTGGATCTCCGATCCGGTCGGAGGCCGATCTGCAGCCCAGCATGTTTGCAGTGTCCTAGGTTTGCACGAAGCTGCCGACAGTCGCTAACTTGCTATGACTACCCACCGCCGCTCTTGTCCGCGCTGAGGCTCGGAGGTGTATAGAGTCAGCCTGGAGTCATATACATTTATGGAGGAATTCTAAAAGACACCTCTAGCCTCTAACGTCTATAGACTCCAGACGCAGAGCTTCTTTTTGGCATGTAGCCTCACGCAGCCTGTCGCGCTGATGGGCAATATTTGCGAGTGCTGTGGGGTGCGTGCAAAGGGACCGGCCTCACTGCCGGAGCATGCGAGTGGCGGCAACGCCGGATGCGGCTACGCTCTGGCGAAGAACGACCGCACGCGCATGGAGGATGCGGTCGTCTTGAATGACAACGTGGCAGGGCATCGATGCTATGCGGTGGTGGATGGTCACGGAGGCGACAGGGCAGCAATGTTTCTCCAGGAAATGCTGCCCAGCAAGTTGGGGCAGCATTTGCAGGGCTCCAAAACCAAAGAGCACGTCGTGATGGATACGTTTGCCGAGCTGGATGAGGAGCTAAAACTTGCACTGTTGCAACAAGAGCCCAAGGCAATCGGGAGAACCTCCGGAGCTGTGGCTTGTGTGGCCACCATCCAGGGCAAGGAATTGCTCCTCGCCAACCTGGGCGACTGCAGAGCTGTTGTTTGTGAAGGTGGCCAGGTGAAGTTCGCGACGGCAGACCATTCCCCTGTTTCCAACAAGCTGGAGAAAGAACGCCTGCAGGCTTTGGGAGTGGCAGTGGAGGGCGGCTACGTCGGGGGTGAACTGCAGGTCACACGAGCCTTCGGGGACCTCGATGGGGAGACTGGCCAGAAGCTGGCGGGCCTGATCTCCACGCCGGAGGTTGCAATCTTGGAGATTAGCGACGACACGGAGTTTGTCCTAATTGCCAGCGATGGCATATGGGACGGCCTGCGGGATCAGCTGGCCCTCACGACCGCACGTAAAATCCTGCGGGAAACAAGGTCTCCCCAGGCCGCTGCCCAAGGGGTTCTGGAAGCGGCTGGCAAAGTCACCAAAGCGGACAACGCGGCAGTCGTCGTCGTGGCTCTCAACATCCCGGAGCCCTTGCCGAAGCGAGAGCCCAGACAAAACCGTTTCCAGCTGAAGCTGGATTGAATTCGCAGTACAGTCTTGCACCGCGCCGATCGTCTCGCAGGTCCTGCCTGCTGTTCCACGAGACATAGGCCATAGGCACATCCTCCATTTGAAGTCCTTTGAAGTACGAAAGGCCAGATTGATTTCTCCTCGATCATTCAGAGCTGATACAGCTAATCCGATGTTGCACGTCTTTGAAGCAGTCAAAAGTGCCCGTCCAGGGTCGTGCATATGATCCCCACCTGTTGCACACCAACCCCGGTTACCGCCAGGAACGCAGCTAGGGGAGCTTCGTGTAGGGTGTTCTGCCAGGATGTTAATCAACGTGCCCTTCGATGAGCAGGCAGTGCTCTGATGCCGAGGTTCCCAGCAGGGGGTTGCTTTTCTCTGTGCGACAAGTGGTTAATTTGACTTGCAGTCTCTACAGAGCACCGTGACTTTTTCCGCGTTGCCCTGGGTTGTTACAGTCATGTCGCAACCACTGCATCCGGCATAGTTACGTTGCACATCGTTTATCATATCCGGCGCCGGCCCACTACCCTGCGTCCTCTCAGAGTTCGTCGGGTACGTGATGCAACACATGCATCCACATTCCCAGGTGTTGATTGGTGCAGCATCGATGTAGTATTATGCTGTACCAGGTACCAGTACTAGCTGGGGTGGAAGCCATGTTCGCTTCCTGCTAGGACGGTGGCGTCACACCCTTGGGATCCTCAATTCATACCATTGCTTGCCATCGGTCGAAGCTGAAACTCCGGGACCTGCAATGACAAGCCGAAGTACGCTTTTGGCAACACGACAATACAAGACGACCACACAACTCCAATAGTAGCACTGGTAAGTCATGCTGATGTTCATTGTGAAGGACCAGCCACCCTCGTAATCAATAGTGCTTATCTGGCTGCTACACGAGTAAGGTCGGGATTGTCAATATTTTTCTGGTCTATGTCTTTGATTGCCATCATGAAAAATTCTCCGCAAGAGCAGCACAGTCAAGATCAGAATGATGTCATTGCCGGTTTGTGCTGACGATCTGCCGTCGTCCGTGTTCTAGTTTATGCTGTGACGGTGGTGAAGCATCATGCTTGTTCTTCGTGTTTGTCCTATAGCCGTACCCTTGCCATTGTCGGGTGTATTTGCTGTGTACAATCCTATGGTGCTGCTTGCGCTTGCACTGGTTTCCTTGCTGTTGGGTGTTGATAGTGATGGCTGTGGTGAAGGCGGTGGTGGTGGTCGTTCCGCTTGGTATTTATGGCAGGTCGAGCCTACGACTTGTTCAGCCTTGATGCGAGATCTCCGATCCGGTCGGAGGAGTTTGCAAGCTGAAGGAGGCCGATCTGCAGCCCATCATGTTTGCAGTTCCTAGGTTTGCACGAAGCTGCCGACAGTCGCTTACTTGCTATGACTACCCACAGCCGCTCTTGTCTGCGCTGAGGCTCGGAGGTGTAGAGGCGGCAAACTCTAACAGGCACCTCTAACCTGCAGACTCGTAGACTCTAGACTCTAGACGCAAAGCTTCTTTTTGGCGTGTAGCCTCACGCAGCCTGTCGCGCTGATGGGCAATATCTGCGAGTGCTGTGGGGTGCGTGGAAAGGGACCCCGAAAAACGACCGCACGTGCATGGAGGATGCAGTCGTCGTAAATGAGAATGTCTCAGGACGTCGCTGCTATGCGGATGGTGCAGCAATGCTTCTCCAGAAAATGCTTCTCAGCAAGTTGGGGCAGCACTTGCAGGGCTCCAAAACCAAAGAGAAAGTCGTGATGGATGCGTTTGCGGAGCTGGATGACGAGCTGAAGCTTGCACTGTCCACAAGCCACAGCCCCTGAGGTTCTTCCGACTGCCTTGGGCTCTTGTTGCAACAGTATCAACAGTGCTGCAAGAAGAGCCCAAGGCAGTCGGAAGAACTTCAGGGGCTGTGGCTTTTGTGGCCACGATCCATGGGAAGGAATTGCTCCGCGCCAACCTGGGCGACTGCAGAGGTGTGGCTTGTGACGGTAGCAGGTCCTGCCATAGGCACATCCTCCATTTGAAGTCCTTTGAGGTACGAAAGGCCAGGTCAACCATTCAGAGCTGATAAAGCTAATCCGGTGTTGCACGTCTTTGAAGCAGTCAAAAGCTTGGTCTCATCGGGCTCGCGTCAGGGTCGTGCATCTGATCCCCACCTTTTGCATACCTTGCCGCCAGGAGCGTAGCTAGGGCTAGGCGAGATTGTTGTAGACCATTCTGCCAGTGCTCGATGATGCCAGGGTTCCTGGGGGGTAGCAGGGTTGCTCTCACGACAGGCGTTGCGCTTCCGGTCCGGATTTCCAGAATCGAGATTTACATGGGCACCTTGAGTCATGCAATGTTGCAGTGCCTGCAACCGTCGATGTCTTGTCGCATTGCAGCTAGGGCTAGGGGAGCTTCTTGCAGCCGGTCTCGTGTGCCAGGATGTCAATCAACGTGGCCTTCGACCGGCAGGCAGTGCTGGAACCCCGGCTGGACTATCGTTGTACTCGTTGCTTCGGCAGCAGCGGTGGTGGTGGTGGTGACTTGGAGCCTTCCGCATCGTGGTATTCTTGCTCGTCGCACACTTGGGGTCATAAGTTGAGTCTTATGTGGGAAATAGTAGCAGTATGAGTAGAATCGTCGTGACCCTGTTGGTGGTCGCAAGTGTGCACGGTCGTCCTTGTCGTGATCCACAGGTTTTTGCCGTCGTCGTGCATATGTTTTCACTTAGTCGTAGCGTATCAAGAGCGACTCCTCCTTCATCTACAGCACATATACCCAAAGGCCCCAAAGTAGTTCCTTTTTGGGGTTCATATATAGACTCCTATAAGGTAATCCCAAACAGGAACTACTTTGGGGCCCATGGGTAGTAGCCATGAGTAGACACTAAGCGAGAGAACTGCACTAAAGTTAAGACACAAAGCCCGGTCAACGATCACCGCCCACTCGAAGTTCAGTTTGCATCCGCCCCCAATGACCGACTCTGAGGCTAGCGAGGGCTTGCGACAGCTTGGGGGAGGCTCGCACATGATGCACTTTGAAAACGCGGATGTGAAGAGGATTTGGGCACATACGGGTGGTTGTCAAAATTATGGGTTTGGGCTCTTTAGGGTTTAAGATATCCGAACTCTTAACTTCCAAACTGGGTATGCGGGTTGGAGCTTTAAGTTGTAAGGTGCAGAAGGGGTAGGAGTGAGGGGATGCTACGTAAGGTGTTGTGGACTTCCAGCAAGCCTAGATTCAGGCCCAAATCCTACACCCGAAATCCGAAACCCTACAGCAGCCAAAACCCAGAACTCCTAAATCCAGAAGAGTGGCTTCTCTCTAGCCGGGGCGTCCTTGGCCCTTCCCAATCTGGGATTCGGCCGTTCTGGGAACTCTGGTGTGGGGGGGCCGGTCTGGGGGGTGTGCCTGCAGTTCCCCGCCTCGGCGCCCAGGGAGCTGCAGTACGTGGATTTCAGCGACAGCAAGCACATCACGGGGTCTTTGAGCGACCTCAGCGGCCTCAAGCTCCTCGGCGCAGGTTCTTGGTGCTTCCGTAGATGTGTCGTAAAGCTGAACGCAGGAATCCGAAACACCGCGGAACATCCTCCGCCATATATTTGCAGATCACTGGGGTGGACCGGGTGCCAGCAATTTTTTCGGAGAGGTGTTTATGGAGACTTCGGTGACTTCTTGAGGGTTTTGCAGGGGTTCTTGGGGGGTTTGAGGGCGAGGTCGAGGCCTCGAGCCTAGCTCGTGGAAGAGGTCGCGCCACTTTTTTGGGGGAAACGGGTTGCGAAATCTCTTTGTGGGACCCGCAGTGGGAGGCTTTTCCCAGACTTCCGGAAGGCTTGAAACCCTAAAATCCCTAAACCGGCTTCCTTTGCTCTGGTTTTCCAAAACTCTACATGTAACGAGATGCGGGTTCAGGGCTCCGGCATTCCCCGGTCTCCGACAGTTTTGGGTTCAAGATGGTTTAGGTACGACTAGGAACACCTCGGACGAGAGGCTTGGGGCGCAGCGCTTGGGCCGACATGTATGTGACGTCCAACCCCCGCAATCAAACCCTGAAGCCTTCACCCTAGACCCGAAACCCGTGATGGAGTCCTTCAAGCCATCCGGAAGCCTGGAAAAAGCCTCCCACCGCGTGCCCCACAAAGAGATTGCACAACCCGTTTCCCCCCAAAAAACTGGCGCGGCCTCTTCCTACCCCCCCCATCTTGGACAAAGAGCTAGGCTCGAGGCCTCGACCTCGCCCTCAAACCCAAGGACCCCAGCAAAACCCTCTTGAAGTCACAGAAGTCTCCATAAAGGGCTTACGCCTGCTTTCAGCTTTGCGACCCATCTACGGAAGCACCAAGAACCCGCGCCGAGGAGCTTGAGGCCGCTGAGGTCGCTCAGAGACCCCGTGATGTGCTTGCTGTCGGGGAAAGCCACAAACCGCAGCTCCCTGGGCGCCGAGGCGGGGAACTGCGGGCACACCCGCTCGGAAGGCCCCCCCCCCACCACAGTCCCCAGAACCGCCGAATCCCAGGTTGGGAAGGGGCCAAGGTTGCCCCCCCTGCCAGAGAGAAGCCACTCTTCTGGATTTAGGAGTTCTGGGTTTTAGGCTGCTGTAGGGTTTAGGAGTTAGGGTGCAGGATTTAGGCTTGAATCCAAGCTTGCTGGAAGTCCACAACACCTTACACAGCATTGCGTCCATATAGGGTACCCAAAAAGGGGCCCTAATTTTGACAACCACCCACATGTCTAGCACTCCACAGTCCAGAGTATTGGGTAGGCGATTGGATGTTTCGCTTTGTGAACTGGGGCGCTTGAGGGTTTAGGGTTTAGGGTGCAGCCCTCAAGTTGTCAATTGCACACCCTCAACCCTGAATTGGAACATTCAGCTTCTCGGCAAGCTCTTCGCGGCTCGGTTCGGACTTTCGCCAAATATGTGGTGATAGTCTCCTCGTATGTTATATATATATATATATATGCATGTATATGCAAGCACTTGTTTATAATGTATACATGTATATATCTATATGTTCATTATGTATATGTATAG